GACTCAGGTGGGGGGGTTTCTTGACTGAGGAAGGGAGACGGACCGCAGATATATTTAATGAGCCATTCTCATTGTTTAAAAAAAAACTACTGTAGAAACTATCCATTTAAAAACTGAAGTTTAACTTATTATTTTATATATTTAAAGGAAGGAGCACAAATATAGATAATTACAAGAGGTATTGAAATGCATTTAATCAACTTTGAATAAATAAATAAGTAAATACACTATCCTTCAAAAGTTAGGGTAAGATGTTTTTGAAAGAAATCAATACTTTTATTCAGCAAGGATGCGTAAAAACTGATCAAAAGTGACAGTAAAGAAATTAAAAATGTTGTGAAAATACATGTTCTTTTAAACTTTCCTGAAAAATGTGTCTTTGTTTCCACAAAAATATTAAGCAGTAACTGTTTTTAACATTGATAATATTAATATATCAGCATAATAGAATGAAGGATCATGTGACACTGAAGACTAGACATTGCTGTTGAAAATTCAGCTTTGCCATCACAGAAATAAATTAAATTTTAAAATATATTAAAATAGAAAACAGCTCTTTAAAGTGTTAATAATACTTCACAATATTACTGTTTTAGTGTATCTTTGATAACAATAAATGCAGCCTTGGTGAGAATAAGAGACTTCTTTCAAAAACAAATTAAAAATCTTACCGACCCCAAACTTTTGAATGCCTGTACCTAAATTCACCTTTTGCTTTTTGACCACACTTTTCAGCAGGCTTCTAAAAAGACAAATGCAACATGTTATAATAATGCTGCTATAAAAATTGCAATCACTTTGATAATATCAGGTATGCAACACAACCGAAAAACAGATAACGTTTGTTTTTGTCAGGATTATCAAGGTCATCAAAGAATGTCTAGTACAGTTATTTTAATAAACTAATAAGAGCTATTTTAGCCCAGCAGCAACAATGTTGCTACAATAGCTACATTTGTTTTTCATTTTACAACATAAGTAAAATAATTTCCAAAATAAGTAGCTCAATTACAATAGGCAAATAACAGGTAAACTAATAAGTAAATAACAAACCAACCAACCAGCGAAAATATTAGTGCAAGTATTAAGATGAAATATTCTAATCAAAGTACTGGCGGCTGCTGCAGTGGGACATGTCTTTTGCTGATGAAAGACAGTCAGTTCGCTTTTCCCCTTCAGCAGTGAAAGGGCACATAATAAAAAAGGGCAGCACATCATTAAAATACTGCACACCACATACAGAGCATAAAAACCTTAAGCGCAGGGGAGATTCAAAATACTTTTGTTTGGCACATAAACAAACAATATAGCCATACTGTAGCTGAGGTCAATGTATAGGTCATTATAGAGCAGACTGATGTATTATTCAGAAGAGAATTCTCTTCTGAATAATACAAGAGATTCAACCATTTTTACCACCACTCTAGTTGACACAAAAATGATTGTGATGCATGCGATTAACAAAATGTTAAATGTAGACGAACTGAGGTTGTGAGTGCACATTTTAGCCCAAAATGAATGATTAAACAGATAAGACGACAGAAAAGTGTCGAATAATAGTAAGGTATCCACTTCAAGGACTGAAACCAACTGGAAATGTCAGGGAGGAGTGGCTTAGAAGTGTCAGCAAAAACAGAGTGAAAAATCCCGAGGCTTTGAAGGTGTGTCAAAAGCGTATCCAGTTTCTTGCTGGTAAAATAAGGGCAGTTAACAGTTCATATCACTTTAATGTTACACCTCTGAAATAGAGCTAACATTAGCATACCCATTGGCACTACATTTTCAAATCAAACGTACACTGACTGAACTGCTCCAGCAAAAAAAGGACATTAAATTCCAATAAAAATGACAACAGCCGAAGATAAATCAACAGAATCATCGGTTCTAGATCTCTGTTATCCTCCTCGAGGACTGAACGTCACAAGCTGAAATCTATTTTATCCTCAGGATCATCTATAAGAATTGTCTTGCAAGAGCTACCGAGAAAGGCTTTTCTCACCTCAAACAGTGAGCTGTTTCACCTAACATAATTCACAGCTGGAAGACATTCTCAGAATTCCCTGTTCTCACCGAGACGGTATGAACAGTTGTTTTAGTCGACTGTTGCATGAATAAAAATGCCCCATTAAGGGATATTGAGACTCGGGGATGGTTATACGATTGCAGTGCTACATTGATTTGAAGATCAATGGAGAGCAAAGGTGTTCAGAGGACTGAATCAATTCTGCATAACAATAAAATCCAACACCTCAAAGATCGCTCCATCCCCCAATGACACAAACTCACTGCTGGCTTAAGATAAGACGAGACATAGCGTGCTGATTTTGATATTTGATTAACACAAATCAAATCATAAATGACAAAGAGATAGTTCCAGCTATGCAAATCTGCATGTTGTAAAATGTCATACTTTAGTATGAGCACACAAAATAAATGTGACAAATCAATTCTGAAATGAATTAACCAAACAACCAAATCCAATTACAGCATAGCCATTATCTCTAAAAATCATTAATATTATTTCTAAATTATCATTATCTCTAAATTATCATGACTATAATAACTACACTTACAAAAGGTACTTGAAGTTCTCTATCCATTCATTTTCTATTCATAATTTCAGTTAATTAAAAGAAAATGAAGAGAAGCATAATACAACAAAACGTTGATAGCTCTATGCATTTTTAGAAAGAAAAACATGCAAATACAGCAAACAACATTTAAAAAAATACAAATGTCCAAAAGTATGTTTTGACACACCAAGTACATAAAATAAAATGATGTTGATAAACCAAAAATGCTAATGTTGCTATGTGTATTTATTCTATTCTACTTTTGTTAAAAATGAACATAGTGAATTTTTTTGCTTTATGTGCTAATTATTACCTTTTTTTGTAATAACAGGAGGCACTTTCTAAGATCTACTTCCTTTCAAATACAGAATACCCGGAAGCTCTGGTACAAATTTGAATCCTATAATCGACACTGTTTTAAAATCCCAACTATTATAATAATATTTATTATTATAATTTAATGTACTTTATTATTTATGTTAATATATATTAAATATTTGCTCGGCTATAGCAATTACTGTGTGTGTTCGTGTGTATATATATATATATATATATATGTATACACACACACACACACACACACACACACATTATATATGATCAGATACCTTTCTTTACATTTGTGTAAAAGGGTATCATATCTCTTTCTGACATCATGCATATTTAATTATAAACTGTGTGAAATATGAACTATGAATATCTTTATATGTATACCTTTTTCATCTTTGTCTACACTAATGTACATCAAAAGCAGCACAAACACTATCCATATGGGCAGATATCACACAGCGCTTTGAAAATATATCACTAACAGAGCATTATTCAAAATATGCCCCTTGCCTGTACAGTGCCTTTCCTATTCGCTCTGAAATCTCAGTTAAGAGCTCAGCACGCTCAGGTTTCAGCAACAAAAATGAGCTCTTCTAGCATTCCCACCCCCATCTTTGTACAGCTCTCCCCCTCCCACCTCTGGCTGTCTCTCCCAGAGACTCTTGTTTATTCCTCCCCTCAGGCTGTAAGATTGGAGCCTGGGCCTGCCATGAAAGAGCGCACACAAAACAAGAGAAGATTAAAGGACAGAGAGATATATGGAGTGCATCTGACCAAACCATCTGTGCTACTCAAAACCCTACAAAACCCTTTTTTTACCCTACACTTACATGCAGAGGTGTAAGAACCGCAGTGCAGGCAACCACATATAGGAAGCAGCAACATAAAAACAAACCATGAGGGTTTATTTATGATTCAGACATAGAGGCTGCAAAATATACAAACAAGACGTACGATTGACCCGCATAGAACCTTCAGACAGATACCACAAAACCAACAAAAAATCCAGTGTAGCTCTTCCCCCAGTTTACATGAGGTCTACTGCAATAGATGAA